ATCTGAAGGTATAAGGAGGCACCTGCCTATAACCGCAGGTTGTTATTATTTGGGAGGATTTGCGGTCTTGTCCTGTATTAAAAACCTTTAAGAGGGAGGTCTGCAGGGAACTCTGTTCACAGGTTCATGGTAGTAAATTACTGAGTGAATATCTTTGGCAAAAAAACCTCAGCCCTGCGATGGATTGGCGACCTGTCCAGGGTGTACCCCGCCTTCGCCCAATTGCCGGCCGGGATTGGCTCCGGCCCCACCCGTGACCCCGCTCAGGGATTTAGCGGTAGAAAATGAATGAATGAATGAATGAATGAATATCTCTGGCAAAAAGCTCTTTAATATGTTTCAAATATGCCACCATAGTGTGAGAGGTTAAGCTTTATTCCTATGTCCAGGGTTTAGCAGATCATGGCCTTCGAACACCTGGAATTGCCACCTTAACGTGGAGAAGAGGTTTGTGTGTCCCATGCTTCACATTTCATGAGAGTTCTGTTTGAACTTTGCCACTGTGGCTGTTTCTCTTCTTTAATTAAATGTTTTGTCTCATTACGGGTGTCACAGTTTTGGTCAGACAAACTATTACCTACAAATAAAAATCTAATCAAATAAAAGCAAATTTTATTTGTTTAGCGCCAAATCACAACAAAAGTCATCTCAGGACACTTTACAAAGTAAGGTCTAGACCTTACTGTTATCAATATTATTACATAGGGAAAACCCAACAAATCCCCCTTGAGCAAGCACTTGGCGACAGTGGGGAGGAAAAACTCCCTTTAACGGAAGAAACCTCCGACAGACCCCGGCTCTTGGTGGGCGGCCTTCTGGAGGGGAGGGGAGGGGAAAGAAACTCAGAGCATCATGGGGCCCCCAGCAGCCTAGGCCTATAGCAGCATAACTAAGGGAAGGCTCAGGGTCACCTGATCCAGCCCTAACTATAAGCTTTATCAAAAAGGAACGTCTTAAGTCTAATCTTAAAGGTAGAGAGGGTGTCCGCCTCCCGAACTGAGACTGGGAGTTGGTTCCATAGGAGAGGAGCTTGATAGCTAAAGGCTCTGCCTCCCATTCTGCTTCTGTGGACTCTAGGAACCACAAGTAAAGTAAAGTAAGTAAGCAAGTAAAGAGTAATATGTGAGAAATTGTAAGCAAGACTGAAACCTGTTTTAACAGGTCTTCACTGCCTGAAATAAATACAAATAGGTTTAATTAGCATAGTGTATCTATCCAGTGTTTCTACCATAAGTAGCACAATATATTACTGAGCTCTTTATTGACGTTATGTCAACCAGGATCAAGCAATAATTCAAATGTTGTTCTATCCAAACTGTTAATATCTACATTTCACAGATGGTAAACCTGGACTCGGGTTGATGTGAAGCTGTGTAATTGCAATGAAATGGTCTGTTGATCTTTCCCTGCTCTTTGCTTTGGGGGGTTCAAAAAATCCACTCACAGGCAGTGATTAAAGCTAGGCCTGATGCCACAATAACTTGTATTTAACATATACTCTGGCTGACATTAGCTGGGGGAGCTTTTCATCACCCTACTGTACTTCAAAACAACTTTACTAGCTCAGCCCTATTCCTTTACAGCAGTGATTGCCAACCTTTGTATTGATGATCCCTAATTTAAAGAGATGTCTACTTTTGACAACTTGTTACAGAGAACACTATAATGAGTTGTGAGTGGTTCCTCTGGGTAGACATTTGGCCTCACTTACTGTTTGTTTTGGACAGTTTTCAGAGTGCTGAAGACATACAACTATACAGTGTTTAACAAAAAAGGAAAGAAATGCTAGGAAGAACATTTGTTAGCAGAATATTTTTTTCTACCGTTATCTCAACAATCATTTCATGATCACTCAGATTCTTCTTGTGATATGGTGGTGATCACAGAGAAAGGACAAAGCTGACCATGAAATCTTTCCAAAGGGTTTATGGAGCATAATTTAAATTTCCTGAAGCCAAACAGCTACCCTTCATAACTGATTTTAGAGATACTTACTCACAGTGATTTCTGTGATTATGTGGCACTTATTGTAATGTGTCGCAAACAGTCTGTTTCAAATGACATATGCCTTAATAATAATGTGCTAACTTTCACTTTTCATAGAAAAAATACAAATGAAAAGTTGACTTTCTAAGCAACTAAACAGACCTTCTTTGGACCCAGTGACCTCAGATAAGTATTTTGCTGCTATAGCTTTCTCAGTCTGGTGTGCTCGATAGCTTATGGCGACCAATTATAGCAAAAACTATATAATGTAAGTAATGTTAGTACATTTTAGGTAAGTATATTAAGGCAGAGAAAAGGCACCATAGGGACTTTGTCAAAAATAATGGCTAAATGTGCTTATTTTTGGTTTCACATAGGAAGTGGTCAACAGAGAGAACCAAGTGCAGACAACTCACAGATAGACTGGCAGGTGAATCTGAACATTGTAGAAAGATCAAAACAACAAAACAAGGCTTACTCAAGTTCAGGTAGACAAAACCAGGCAGGAGGCACAGAGTCCAAACAGAGGTCGGTAACAAACAGGAGACAGTTTAAATACAGGAAAATATGACAAAATGCTGGCAACCAGTTAGAGGAAAATAAACTAAAGGTGAAGTCCATTACACAAGATGAGCACAACACAAGTAAATAAATCTAGGAACAGGTGAGAAAGAGTAAAGGGACAGCTGGAATGCTACCCCATAAAAGCACAATTAATAGAAAATCTGATAGTAGACAAAGGGGAAATAACCATTATACTGTGTATATACAAGGGAGCTTATGAAGGGAGTAGAAACAGACGTGCAGAGTCAGGTGTCCTTGAAAGAGGGAACAGGAAGGAGTCCAAAGAAATCGAGGCTGCAGTCTATGAGAAATTCGAGAAAATAACAAGTGCCTGAGGATGTAACTAAATGAGTGAAAACTGGCTCCACCAGCACCAAAACACACAGCTCTGAGACAGAAACTGTGAAAACTCTTGAACGCAACCTTTTCTTCTTGGCTTTAAAATATGAATTATGCTACTTTTTCAGAGCACCTTCATGGTTGAATTTATCAGACCTAGTTCTTGTTGTCTGAAATGACCGTGAACACAAAACACCAGATTCATGAGAATAGTTAAACAAAACTGGAAAAAAAAAAAACAGAAAGAATGAGTAATTCCTTTACTCTGAAATGCCTACGAGAGATGCCAGCCAGCATGATGAAACGTGTCTCTTTACTCCTGGGAGTTGGTGAATCTACTGACACAGTTGATAATCCTACCTAAAGAGTTGATTCCAAATTTTAGTCATGAAGTATAGAACACCTAGAATAAACCAAAATTGGTGTTATCCATTATGTTGCCCTTTATTTTGCTAGTGGCAGTGGAACATGGTCAGATTCTATGTTCTAACACGCTGCTTTTTTTAAATTCACATTTTACTTAGCCACAAATATAAAGTGTTCAGCAAAGGAGTTTGTTTTTGCATAGTAGGTTTATGCAACAACATCAAACTTTACACCCCCTTAAGTGGCTCCGAATGCAAAAGTATTGCCCACATGCTGATATAACTGTACATAAACCACAAATGAGGGATGTTTTCCAATAAAGCCTAACCCAAAGCTTAATGAGGAGAGATATACTATCAAGCCTAGAACACAAAGAACAGTGGACCAATGCCTCTGTAGCATGAGTCACTCTGCTCCAGATACTGTCCTTGACAGTGGTTAGTACATGCATGCACATCCATAGAGATGATTAGGAGCACGTTGTAATGAAGCATTGCACCATGACTTATTGAAGTACAGCCTCTTTTATAGCATGCCATATGTCTAACTTTGCAGTGTAGCCATACTCTCGTGGGAGCATGACTCACAGTATACTCTGCAGAGAAGGAAAAGAATTCAATTGTGGGACATGGGAATAGAAATGCTGAAATGCTAATTGCAATTAAAAACTGTAGAAACTAAAACAAAGACATGCATTTTCATATCACTCTTTTGTGTTTGCTTTTTATCAACCAAAAGCAAGTGAGCAAGTAATATTTTTTCAGTCCTGTAGTTAAGTGTTTATATAGTTCTGCACTGATGCCTGACTACTGTGATAGTGAGGTAAAACCATGCTGATAGCGTGTAATAAACATGCCAGACTCTCTAAAAGCTGGAAAAGTCTGAAGGCTTCCAGAAAGCTTTGAAGTTAGTTCCCACCTCCTAACCTGCCATTGTTTCCCATCTCCTTTTGTTTTGCTTTGTTCTTATTAGGGAGCTGGCAAAAACTTCAGACACATCACCTAGAACTCTCCTTTATAAAACACAAGAACAGATCAAAACGATTGCTTTGTGTGTTTGTAAGTCCACATGTATACGTTTATTTAGCTTAGTCACTGCTAACAGGATGCTTTGTTAACCAGCAAGAATACACAATTTCCAAATAGCATCTGCACAGTCAGGTTCCAGGTTGTCGAGCCTGTGACCTAGAATAGTTTTTGGGTCGGAGAGTTTTTCTACAATTTTCTCTCTTATATACACTTTTATATACACACACAGACACACATTTACACACATCTCAGGCTGGCAGGTAATGCAGGAAGGTCAGTTTTACTGGGTATCAACTATTCATGTGTGTCTCTGAAGTGCTGGCCAGTTTATTGGCCTGCAGATGCTGCTGCCTGTGGTCTTTTATCACTGTCTGGCTTCATAGACCCTGAAGAACTAAAATCTTCACAGTGGTATAACTGGACAGTTTGGGGAAGAGCCCAGAGAGAACAGGACTCCCATGAACTGGCCTTCTTTTGTTACAATACTGTATGTTGTGTTCAGGAGCAATGTCTTCTAGTTTCAGTTTAGACAAATATTACTTCAGTTCATCACTGGACACCAGCACTAAACTTATCCAGTAAGATCCTGAATGGTGTTCCACAAACTTCTATTCATCTAATTCCCCAAAGTGAAGCGGAGGGTTGAGAGAGACAGACAGAAAGAGAGAGAGAGACCAACTCTCAACCAGTCTCTTTATTTTGCTGTCTCCCGTCACTTTCCCTCACAGTGCTAACCCAAACCTCTCGTGTTTTTCCACATTTGTCCTCTTCTGCCCCCAAACTCCAACCCCCGTTTAAGTAATTGATGGAGTGGAGGAAGGAGAGTTTCGCTCGATAGACGAGCAGCTGGCAGGAACAGAGTTGTGGTAAAGAAAGCAGCCCGAGGGAAGTGATACACACTGAGGCGAGCGGAACCAGGCGAAGACAAGGAAAAGAGAAGACCGCTTCAGGTGACAGAGCCGCGATGGAGGCGCACGTCATGTGTGAATAGGGAGCACCGCTTCTGGAAGCGCTCTCATTGTTAAGGTGGATTACAAAGTGAACCCCCTGCAGGACTGACCGGCTGCCTTTGTCCTTTTTACTTGGCGGATTAGAATCATGAATGTGTCCCCCACAGACCGCAGGAAAAACATGCGAGAACTGGCTTTGGAGATTGGCATCCGAGTTCTGCTTTTCGGAGTTTTTGTGTAAGTAAACCCTCTACCTGCTGAGTTTTCTGCTTTTATAACAATCTAGTCCGGCATCGTTTGCCCCTGACGATTACAATCAGTTTCATGACTGACGTGATCGTGTGCTTTACACGCGCATACAGCTGCTGTATTCAGGTTCATTTGCCGCGGTGTGGTGCTGGACGAACTGAACTAACCCGCTGTTAATCCGCAGTTCAGCACCATGGACAGATGCCGCTAAACGATCAGCAGACAGACGCTGCGTTAACAGGTTGCAACAAAACAAGTTAAATGCCAGCAGCATTTCATTTTTTGGTATGAATCATGTCACCATTTGGGAAATATCTCTTGTCTTATGAGAGAAGGTGAGATGATTAACGAGACACAGCTTCTTTGACCACTTTACTCCAACAGAAATAGACAGTGATACAAGGGACGATACAGATGGCAGCATGGCACTTTGTAGGATGGTTGTGCCTTACAGACGCAGCCTCCCAAACTAACGCGAATATGAATCATTTATTGTTTCTCTAATCTAGAGGTTTCAAGCCGCGTTTTGATCATGATTGTTCCATTTATTGATTTTCTGCTTAATGTGGTATATTATTTGAAATAGCTCAAATAAAGCCATGCTGGCTTTCATTACACCTCTGGGGGGAATATGGTCAGAAATCAGCTTCTGTAATTTGGTGTGTGTAGTTACACTGCCTGCATACCTTATGTACATTAGTATCTATCCTGTCTAGCTTTGTGCTGTCAGCAAGAAGAGCATGATCACAATTTAGGCAAACTCAACTGGAGCGATCTAACTAAAGGGAGGAAAGAAAAGGATGACCCTTATCAGAGAGGAGGCATCAAGCATCCTGGTTTAGCCTGTCATGTGTTTGTGTGCGAGAGTATGCAAGATTCACATTTCTGGATGATTTGTTGTTGTGTATTATGGCTGGAGGCCGCATAAAAAAATGTAAACAATATCACCATCATCATCAACTAACTGCCGTGTTCTGCCACAGAAGTCCCAGCCCGAAGTAATACAGTCCTTGATCACTGTAATGAATTGAGCTTTACTTCCCATACTCCCTCTTCAGTACACAGAAATGGAACTAAGGCTAACAAACTGTGCTTGCCATGGAGCCCCATCAGTAAACTTTATATGTCAAATAGTGCCTCTAAACTGAGAAGAGGGCTTTGGTTATGTAGTGTCACGTTTACTTCCTATGTGACCATGCAGAAACACAAACATCAAATACATTTGGTCATATGCATATTTGAAAGACCTTTTGCCAGGACTATATAGGGACTATAAAAGGACAGTTAACACAAAAAGAGGAGAACTGGGCTCTGCTAATGATTGAGAGCCTTAATTTCTGATAGTGTAGAAACAAGTTTCAGTCCTGCACCTTTAACAGAGGGAGAGTTTGGTCTAACACATTTCTTTGGGACTAGCAGTAATTGTTGTATTCAACAAGCTCTTTGCCCAGCAGATCACAGAGAGTTGCCCTCCAGCCCTGAAAGGTAGCAGTTCCTTGTTCTTACCTCAGCATGAAAGCAGGATAATTGGGGTCAACAAGAATCTGCTGTTTTCTTCACTGGAGGTGTAAAGGACAATTTTAAGCTATCAGCACTTGTGTCTGCTTTTAGTGCACTGCAGTTTTGTCTAAGGAGGAAAGTGACACTCTTATCCATGTGTACTCACCTGCCACTTCATTAGGTACACCTGTACTATTTTATACAATGCAATGCAACACTTCCACCTTAACACTTGTGTTTATGAAGCTCAAAATGTTTTGTTTTTGGTGAAATTGTCATAAAAAGATTGTTATTGAGGTCATAGTTAAAGGTGTTGTTGTACTGTACTGGACAACATTATATTTAGAGGTGTTCTTAATATTCTTACCCTCTCATATATGTAGCTGGGGAGGACAAAAATATAGAGACACCTCTAAATATAATATAAAGTATGTGGCGTTTGGTTGATTCTGTGCTATCAAGCTGGCAGTGCCATCCAGTCATCATGGCTTGGTACTGTAGGCACCCAGGAGTCACATATCACCCCAGACTAAAGCAAAAAAGTCCTATCTAAATGCAAATAGACCTTTGACATTTAATAAAGTGGAAAAAACAAAAACTGAATAGGAAAAAGTCTTTTTTTCTGTGAATTACTACTTAGTATACAAAGAGAGAATAAGACTGGTGCTATTTTATTTTTCTTGTAATCTGAAGGACAGTGAGCAAGAGCTTATGCCAAGAAGTTATTTCTTCTTTGAGTGGTTGTGTGGCAGAGTTCATGTTCTCAATTAAGCAAGCTCAGAATTAAAACTTCCACATGTTAATTCCTCAGCTCATAAATGGATGCTTCACTAAGCAGATACATCCCATTAAATATTAGGTTCAGTGTAGAAGAGGAAACAAAGCAAGAAGGACTCAGAGACAAAAACAATGAGAAAGCAGAGGTAGACAAGATGGAGGACATGGAGTTAGGGAGATCTAGATTGTTTTGAGATTTTAGAGATTAAAACCCAAGGCACAACAAACAGAGAAACATCAAAACCACACAGAACTCTTATCAGCACTATCTAAAAGCTTCTCAAAGGCACGATTAGACAGCAATTGTTTTACGAGCTGGTGCACACCACAAAATAGAACAGATTTGTTTGTGCCAAGAGTAACGATTTGATCCGGAGCAGAGCTGACTCTTTTATTGCAAAGAGTCATAGTGGTAAAGCAAGACATTTGTTTATCTCATGTATTGGCATTGAAGTATGCTGGAATATCCAGTGTGGTGAGTACCGTGTGATGCTGACAATATTAAAAACAAATGATACAGTTGTCAAATGGGGTTAGTAGTGTGTGTCCTAAAACAACACTGTTCTTCCCACAAAGCAGTGTCCGGCTCACTGTGTATCATCCTCTCCTCTCAGAGGAAAGCTTAGGAGCAGCCCTGGGATGCAGCCCAGAGCCTTGGCATGTCTCAAAAAAAGATTTGTGACACTTTGAGGAAGAGCAGAATGTCAGACCTTAGAGTGTTTAAGAATAAGCAGATTGGTTAGCTTCCATGTTAAGGATGTGAATGCTTGTGCTATGGTTTTGTGGAGAAAATCTCAGGATTGGTTACAGCGTCATCAGGGCACATGGTCTTTGTTGATACAAACAATATAGTATTGTTAATATAGGCTACGAGAATGTTGTAGTAAGTTCTGTTATGGTTACTGGATTAAGAAGAAAAAACTGAAATTGGCAATCCGTAAAGGATAAGGTTGGTCATTTTCTGTATCAATAATATTTTCATCAATCCCCATACAGAGACTAAAGCCGACAATGAATTGCTCACGACTCACTGTTAATGGCTGTCAGTCTTCAACCTGGGGCTTATTGCACAAAATCAAGATAAGGGATTAAGCTGGGATTTCACAGATATCCCAGTTGAATTTTGCCCTGACTCAGCTGCGTGAAAGCAGGTTAAATTTGAAAAAATTAATTTACTATGGAGATTTATTCTTAATCCTGGTGCTTTATATGCTGTCACTTAGTTTCCTTTTGTTTACAGGCACCAAAATCCTTAAATTTGACATGATAATCACATTTCTTATAGACCTACTGTATGCTGAATACCTAGAGTGTGCTTACAATGATGAAACAAAGTTTAATCATCAAATGTTCAATTTTATTATTAGCAAGTAACTTAAAATGCCAAGTTCAAGGAACTGTCTTGTCACTTTGATCATCAGCCTACAAGGACATCAAGCCATATAGGCTTCCTTTTCATTTCAAATTTTCTTTCATGAATTACTCTAGCCTCATTCACATTTAGATTAATAATATGTAAGCTGTATTAAGTAGAACACTGTTTGCTGTGGCTCAGGAGGTAGAGCAGGTCATTTCCTATATGGAAGATCAGGATTTTGATTCCCGGCTTGTCCAGTCCACATTTCGAAGTGTCTTTAAGCAAGACGCTGAACCCCCAGTTGCTCACCGGTTTGGGAGTGTGAATGGCCAAATAGTGTGATAATTTTTAAGTCTGCTGTAACGCATAGAAAAGCACTATACAAGTATAAGACTGTTTATCACATTCCATACATATTAGTAAATTAATGGTATCTTCTTACTCTGCACTATTTCATTCCATTTCATCCCATTGCACTAGTATTTTATAATCTTAATGTACTTTATCCATTACTTGTAATTTAAATCCATAAAGTCTGCTGTATATTGTACAATACCTTACAGTATATATCTTACTGTAAATATCAATTGTACATATCTGTCGGTAAATTAGTACTAACTGTAGATACTGTAGATACTGTGCACACTGCACTGCTGTTATTGCACTTCTGGTTAGATGCTAAACTGTATCTCATTGCCTTGTACTTGTACATGTGTAATGACAATAAATATGAATCTAATCTAATCTAATCTAATCTGATCTAATTTTTATAGATTATGCACTTGATATCCCTGTAAGTGTTCATGAATGAACATGCTTAGTGGGTCTGAAATATGGTGCATGTGTCTTTGATGGGTGTGCTTGAAAATCCAACCAGCATGGTGACGCTTGTGCCGGTCAGCCATGGAGTCTGTTAATTTTAATAATAATACTTAACATGTGGTGTGCCAGCACGGTCAAATAGAACGCAGCTTCTATGTCAGCATCAGTAAATCTGTGATAAACCGTGAAGGCGTATTCATCCAAATTACTTACACCTGTCTTGACCTAGCCACACCTCCTCAGCCTGTCTTAGCCTATATGAAATGCATTTAGCCAGGATACACTTAGTAGACTAGGTCAAGCCTTACTTTTTCTCATTATCTTGGATTTCTTATTCCTCATTTTTGTACATTACCCCCCTGGTTTAGCTTGTTTGTCTGTGCCTTTAACGTCCTTTGTTGCGCAAAAACAATTAGAAAATGCATTTGTGAAGCACACTGACACATTTCTTCATTACAAAACACCAGACCCACATATTTGTTAAAAACGTTGCCCCAAAAGCTCCAAACAACCGTAACTTTTCATAGTGTCT